GCGCCCTGGGGGCGTCAGGACCTGGGTGGTCCCAGCAGAAAATAGTCGGAACCTAGGCTGGGGAGCCCTCCCCGTGACACCGCTCCCCTCCCCCAGCCTGATCTAAGTGCTGGAGTTTTTGCAGAGAAAACGGTGGCAGGAGGGAGAAGGAGAGGATCCTGAGGGGAGGAAGGGATGCTGAGGGGAGAGGAGGCAGGAAGAGGAAGGGGGCAGAGGGTGTGGAGGGGGAAGGGGAGATGATAAAGGGGAGAAAGAAGAGAGGAATGGGGGAAGATGCCAAGACACTGAAAGTTGAAAGGGGGACAACCAGGGCTGAGGTGCGGGGAATTCAGGAAGTTGGGAGGAGTGCAGGGAGGCTGGGAGAGATGCAGGGAGGCTGAGAGCAGAGAGAGTTTGGAAGACGTTCAGGTCAGGGAGGTTTCCAGAAGTGCAGGGAGGTTGAAACAGTGCGGGGAGAAGGGAGGCCTACGGTTGGCACAGGAGCCTGGCAGGATGCAGGAGCAGGAAAGAAGCTGTAAACAAGGCCGCTCAGGCTCCCTTGGTCCCTATGGGTGCGGGCCTGGGCCATCGATTGGGCTCCCCCCAGGGGAGGATGGGCCCAAGGCAGCTCCCAACAGGAAAAAAGGTCTTGGAATGCGGGGCAGAGCCCCTCACTTATACACTGTGGGAGAGGAGAGGGAGGGACAGAGAGAGACGGTGGGGGGAGAGACAAGGAGAGACAAAGGAGAAGTAGGGAGGACAGACAGGAGAGAGCAGGGGCAGGGGTTAGTAAAACTGCCCTTGCCAACCCTTCCATTCCTCCCGGCCTGTCCCAGACCCCCACTCACCGCCTAAGTTGATGACGCAGGAGGCGATGATGATGAGGACCCCCCCTACCAGCGCCACGATGCTTAAGAGCTTGGCCACGCGGCCCAGACGCTGGGCCCCATCCACGTCCCCCTGCTGCAGGCTGTTCCGCGACTGGGGTTAGGGTGAGGGGTGGGGCACCGTGGGCCCAGCAGGGAGCAGGTGAAAGAGTTGTCCAGAGGAGACAGGCAGCCCAGCAGGGATCAGGTGAAAGAGTTGTCCAGAGGAGACAGGCAGGCCCCGTGGACAGTGGTTAGAGGGGGAAAGAGGGTTGGAGAGGCAGGGGGAGGAGGGCACAGGTCAGCAAGGCTGTGTGAAACATGTCTTGACCTCCCTCCCGCCTGAAAGGGTAGGGCAGTGGTGGCTCAGAAGGGAATGTCCCAGGGAGAGGCCAGAAAAGGCCCCATACTTGGGAAGTGAGATCCATGCAGAGAGGAGAGGAAAGGCAAGGCTTCTCCTGGGGTTCTGTCCCGGTGCTGGCAGGAAGCTGGGAGCCACAGCAGGCCTGGGCCAGGGTCCCGTGGGGCTCACCATGACAGCATAAGCGAAGGCCACGATGTTGACAGGCCACATGGGGCAGAAGCAGGACAGGATGGCGAGGATGATGTAGTCCCGAGGCTTCTGGGTGCCTTCACCCCCCTCCACCCCAGACCCTGCCAGCTGGGAGCTGGGGTGGCGGCTCAGGCTACCTCGGGGAGATCCTGGATGCCCACTGTGAGCCCTTCCTAGTCGGTCCTCCTCGACCAGCTGCTGCAGCACTCGGGGAGGAGCCCCATTGGCTGGGTGGGTTTTTGTTGCGGGTGGCGAGTGAGGCTGTGGGGCTGGGCCTTCTTCCCCGCCACCAGGCTGCAGGGGAACCACTGCCCCATTCTCTTGCTTTTCCCCCACATTCTCAGTCAGGACCTCAGGGGTGGGGTCCTCCTGGGTAGGGGGCTCTGGGTGAAGAGCTGATTTGGGGGTGGGCTGGGAACCTGGCTGGCAGTCTGGCTGAGGGTCTGACTGGGGATCCAACTGGGGAGCAGGCTCTGAGGCTGGCTCAAGTGGGGCTGCAGACCCCAGATCGGACCCCTGGTCTTCAGTGACCTCTTTATTCCCTTCTGGTTTGGGTGCTGGCTCTTGGCATGCTTCTTCGGGGCTGGGGTTGGCATTTGGTTCCCCTCCTGGGCTTGAGCTGAGGTCCTTGGCCTGGGCTGTTTCTGGGGACCCAGTTGGGGTCTCTGTGGTTTCTGGAGCCAGCCCAGCTTTGGCTTCTGAGTCCACAGGGGCCCCAGTGATGTCTGGGCCCGGCTGCGGGGCCTCTGGCTTATCTGGGACCCCAGCTGGGACCTGGAGAGGGCCAGTTTCGGCTTCAGAATGGCCAGGCCCTTCTCCTTGGGTTTGGGGACCCTCTTCTATCCCCTTCATCTCTGAGCCCTCAGAGCTGCTGGCTGCCATCTTGGGAGGGGAGAGGGGAGAGGACCTCGATGGGGAGGCTGGAGCAGCAGAGACAGCAGCAATCCTGAAAGAGGAGGAGACAGGTTTGGTGTGAGGAGGAAAGAGGTGGCTCTCGGCACTGCAGCTCCAGAGGGCTCTGCTCCTGTCTTAGGGCCAGCCTTGGGCTGCCTCTGGGGAGAGGAAGAAAAGTTGGGGTTTCCTTTGCCTTGGGGTGGGACATCCCCGGGGAGGAGGAGTGCTCTGCTCAAAGTCTTCTGCTTGGAGAGCCCTGGGAAGATTAACCCGTTTGTAAACAGGACCCTCCCATGGCCTCTTCCTGGGTCTGCCCGACAAGATCCAGACTCTCAGATCCTAGCAGATGCCCCAGCATCCCGAAATCAACAAGCTGTGCAGACGCTCGCACGCTCCGACAGGCAGACAGGCACACTGGGCAGAGGACCGATACTCACATTCCACTCCCTCCGCATCCTCCCTTCCTCCCCGGGCGCCCGGCCGGTGCAGTTTCCTCACTGCGCGACTGGGGCGCAGACGCCCCCGCCCCTCCCTGGGGGACCTGGGCTTCTCCTCTGAGCCCCTTGTCAGCCCCTCTCGCAGGGATTCCCTCGCCCCCGGGGGACCGGCGCCTCCTCCTCCCACTGGCGTGGCGCGCCCAGCACCGCCAGCCAGTCCGCCCGGCGCCCGCATTCCGGTGCAGCCCTCCCGGCGTCCGCCGTCTGTCCGCGCACTCCTACCCGCAGCCTCGGTCCAGCCCCGTCTCACCTCGACGCCGGCCTCTAGACTGCTCCCGCTGCTGCTGCCACCGCCGCCCCGTTGCAGCAGCCGCAGCCCGGGAGGGAGCGAGTCAGCGAGGGAGGGAGGCGGCGGGTCTCCCCTCCCCTCGGCTCGTCCCCTCCTCTCGCTCCTCTCAGGTCCCCTCCCCTACGCTCCGCTGCCGCCGCGCACCGCCCCCGCCCCCTCGCTCGCCTCCCGCCCCTCCCCGCCAGCCCGAGGGAGCCACGCGTGCCAGGCCCCGCGTTACCCGGGCAACCGGCCGGGTAGCCACTCGCGCCCCCTCCCTGCCCCTTCCCACGCGCCCTTCTTGGGGGTGCCCCCTTCCCAAGCCCCCGGGCCCCTCCCGCCAACGGTCACCGGGGGTCCTGGCAGAGGCAGGGGGCTGGGGGAAACGGAGAGGGGTCTGCGAGGAGACAGGACCTGTGAGACAGGCGGGACCCGGTGGTGGCACCCCGACAAGCCGAAAGAGGGGAAGGGAAATGAGGCAAAACTTGGGGAGGCTGCTCAGGAGGGGCAGGGTGGGGTTTGAAGAAAAGAGAGCCTGCAGTACTGGAAGCCCCTCTCCCCGCGAGGAAGCAGCAGCCGAAATGGGCGCTGGAAGGCTCCCGGGTCCCTGGAGCCGGACTCAGAAGGGAATTCCAGAGCAGAGGCTGCAGGGGCAGTCTGGAACAGGAGGGGGCTGGGCCCCGGAGCCCGCAAGCGCTGAATGGACCACACCAAGAGCCAAGGGGGCAGGTGGGGGGAGAGGCGCAGTTTTCCTCGGCACCCTCTCCGCTCCCAGTCCCAGGGCTGACGTCCCCATCCTTTCTGCAGCTCCATCGCCCACTGTCACCCCTCAGGGCCTTAAGGGTGTGCAGGTACTCGGCTGGGGTCTGAGCAGCAGGCAATGGGTGTGAGGGGGGAGAACAGCATTTATGTCTGGTAACTGTTGGGGTTTCTAACTCAGGCCTCTTCGGACCTCCAGTGGCTATTCTGGGCCTGCCCAGGTTGGGTATTCCCGGGAGACCTGGGAGTCCTGGAACCTGCTCTCCAGTCACTGAGCCTCGGCCCCACCCTGAATCTGGGCTGCAGCCGCTGGTGCTGCCCCCGGCCAGGGAGGAGCCAGAGCCCAGGAGCCACACAGGCCGGAGCCCGGCTGGGACTGGCTGGGTCTGGCGCAGGAAGAAACGCCTGCGGGGGGGGGGGGGGGGGGGGCGGTGCGGACAGGGAGCTTGAGGAGAGCAATCCATCCACTCCAAAATCAGAGACAAGTTTTTATTTAAAATTTATTGTAATGGGGTCCGCGCAAAAGGAGGGGCTGAAGGGTGGGGAACATGCAGGGGACACAGGAACACGATGACATGGCCAGGGCCACAGCTTCTGTCGTGGGGGAGAGGGATGAAAAGAAAAGGCCAGGGCTGGAGCTGGGGTGGAAGAGGGACGGGGGAGACACCATGACTGCATTCCCCCCACCCCCAGGAAGCACCTCTAGTCCCTGGATCCCCCCATCTACCCTGGCACCCTAAAATTCCATCTCTTGTCCTGCCTCTGGCCCTAGTGGCTCCTTCTTTTGCTCCCCTTGACTTGTTTTCCCCTGACAGATTCTCAAGTAGGACGACGTTTGGGGCCTGACCCCAAACGACCCCACCTCATGAAGGTACTACCATTGCCTTCCCTGCTTCTGCCCCTTCTCCAATCTCACCTTTTCCCCCTCTCTGGGACAGAATCTTTGATTCCCCTCCTTCCTCTCCTCCCTCCCCCTGGAAAAAAAAAAAAAAAAGCACCAACTCCCCAGGGAGGGGCAGCAGACAGTAGTGGGGGGCGGGTGGAAGGAGGAGAGCAAGGACCATCAAGGAGAAGGCTCACAGATCCCCGGCAGGGCAGGGCGTTACAGAGAGGAGAGGGGGTGAGGGCAGTGCCGCTCCTGTCCTCTGCCGCCCCCGCCCACTGTCCAGGGGGCTTCAACAGCCGAGGGGACAGGTGTGGGTGGGGTCAGGTCTGATAGGGAGAAGAGAGGAGCAGGAGAAACAAATCGTTAAAACCTAGCGAATTCCCCTAAGAAACATCTCTTCCTCAGATCCTTCTGGAGGCTCCTTGGTCGGTGGGGGAGGAGTGAGAAGTTGGTAGGAAGAGAGAGGGGAAGAGGAGACGGTACCAAGGGACTTTCCTCCACGTTCCACTCTCCCCGCCGCCAACCTGGAGCTCACCAGGGCTGGGAGGGAAGTGGCTGAGAGCTCACGGGCACCCCCTCGGCCCCCGAGAGGGAGCCCACAGCTGTGGGGGGGGCTGTCACCACCGCCGCCGCTGCCGCCGCCGCAGCCGCCGCCGCTGCCGCCGCCATAGGACAGACCTCACCAGTACCTGCGCGGGTGGAAGCACCGGGAGATCACAGCGCAATCCCATCGGCAAGAGCCTCGCCCCTTGCCCCAGACTCCAGACTCGTGCCCAGACTCCCGCCCCTGGGACACAGCCGTTGCTCACTTCCTGTTTGGTCCCCGGAGGCTTCCACCTGCATCCTTTCCCAGTTCTCCTGAAGGGCCCTCCCTGTGCCCAGAAGGCTCCCTAACTTCAGTGGTGGATGGGCATCCCTGGCCTTCCTGAGATCCCCTACTGGGCCCTTTGAGCCCCCTCGTCCCACACACCCCATCCCACCCCCCCCAGCCATGCCCCACGCCTTGCCTGGTGGGTGCGGGGGTCCCCCTCAGCAGGTGGGCTGTGGCTGGGGGGCGTCTCCCGGGACAGGGGGGGCGGCCCCCCCCAGATGGGTCTGCATGTGGCCGGCCAGCTGGGCAGGGGTCTTGCAGTGCACGCTGCACAGCTTGCACAGGATGCGGTCAGCCCGCGGGGCCTGGAGCCCGTGGTCCTTCACCGCGTGGATGCGCAGGTATGCTGCTGTGGTGAAGCCTATTGGGGGGGGTGGATTGGGATGGGGGGATGGGGGGGTCAGCCAGGCGGAGACCCCAGAGACGGGGTTGTTCTCCTAGGCTGGGGACGCCCTCCTCAGATGGCCCTGTCCTCCTCCCACCACATCCTTGGTAACCTGGGGCCAACTACTCTGTTGGGGCTGGCGGGGCACAGCCCCTCCCTCAGCTTGGGGCCTGGGTGAGTGGTGTCAGCTTCTCAGCCTTGGTACCCACAGAACCTATTTTCTGTGGCTAGGGGGAACCTCTCCAGGGGTAACAGAACACTGACTTCTAGCCATTTGAAGAGTTGACCCTCAGCAGAGACGGCTGTGTCCCCTCCCTCCAGGGCCCCGGACGGTCTCAGCCCAATCACTCAGTGAATTCGTGAAGCTTTCTCTGCTACTGGGGCAGGGCATGGGCTTGTTAATCCCCTGCCGGCGTACTCCGCTTTGCCCCAGGAGCCGAAGAGCACAACGTGTGGCCGCACAGCCGAAACCCTGTCTTCCCACCCTTGGGAACTGGCTCTCTTGACCACTCCTTCCCCAAAGCAACCCACCCCCAGAGGCTGACTCTCTTTCTGGAAGCTCAGCTCCTCTAGTCAAGACCTCTTAGAACTTAACGAGCTTCAGTCAACCCGATGCTGCTCCATTTGCTTCCTAAAGGGCTCTAGATGCCGTGAGCTCTTGACTACAGCACCTTTAAGCCTCATCTGTGGAAGGGCCTCTGGCTCCGAGCCCACCCTTCGTCCCTGGCCCTCCCAGCATCCCTCAGCACGTACCTTTGTTGCAGAGCTCACAGACGTGGTGAGGGCCCTGGCTGTGCACCTTCATGTGGTCCGAAATATAAGCCGAGCTCAGCATCTTGCCACACACGTGACATGGCACCTTCTCCTCGTGTCGGACTGTGTGCGCCCGCAGTCGGTCCTTCGTAGCAAAAGCTGCCTCACATTTCTGGGGAGGGGGGAGGGGCGTGGGGGGTGTCAGGAGAGTTAAAGCTTCGGGGAGTGGGGACAGGGGGGCAAGAGGTTAAAGGAATCAGAGCCTTGGGGATCTCTGATCTGTAGGAAATGGGAGTGAGATGACAAGGCCTTGAAAAAGGGATGAGACAATGGCGTGAAAAAGCAAAAAGAAGAGAGAGAAAAAGGGGGTCTGAGAGGCTGAACTCAAACAGCTACAATGAGGATCCAAATCATGAAAACCGGGACAGGAAGAGGAGGCGGGCTTCCTACCTCACATTTGAAGGGCCGTTCTGTTGAGTGCACTTGTCTGACGTGACTGTTGAGGTGATCCGGCCTGGGAATACGTTGGGGTTGGGGTTAGGGCCCTGCGGTGTGGACGTGCTCCCCAACCGGCCTAATTCTTATTAGCACACCGGGCCTTTCCTAAACTGCCTGCACTTTCGCCCAAGCCCCAGGCTCGCGAGTCCCTGTGCGGCAGGAAATCCCTCCCCCTGCCGCCGGGCGGGCTAGTCCTCCTCCCACGCGAAGCCACCTCCCAGGCGGAGGACCCACCTCCTTGGCTAAGTACCACCCCCTGCTCCCTGGTAACCAGGAGAGGCTTTCCTCCCTCCTCCCGGGGAGTGGCTCCCGGTCCCCATCCTCAGAAGCCGCCTCCCTCCCCGCCAGCCAAGGCCAGGCCACCTCCGTTGCCGTCCCTCCCTCCCCCCCCCCCCCCCCCCCCCCGCCCGGGGGGCGGCCGAGGCCCCGTGCACACCGGGAGAAGCTCTTGCCACAGTGGGAGCAGTTGTAGGGCTTGTGCACAGCGCCGTCATGTGAGCGCACGTGGTAGCTCATGCGGTCCTTGCGCTTGAAGCGCTGCTGGCACACCGGGCACTGGTAGGGCTTCTCGTCCGAGTGCGACAGCTTGTGTCGGTTCAGGTGGTAGACGTCGCGGAAGGCCTTGCCGCACATCTCACAGGCGTGGTTCTTCCGGATGCGCTTTCCCGAGGCGGTCGTGGTCACCACGCCACCCGCGGCCACGGCGGCCGCTCCGCCGCCCGCACCCGCCTCTCCCCCTCCCCCGCCGGCTCCGCTCAGCTGGGGCACGCTCAGGAGGCTCAGGGGCACCATGGTGGGCATCTTCATAGCACCCGAGGGGACCCGGCCGGCCTTGGCTCCCGTGTGGATGGCCTCGTGCCTCCGGAGGTTGTAGCCGTTCTTGAACTCCTTGGCGCACAGGGCGCAGATGTAGGGCCCCTTGCTCTTTGTCTTCTTCTCCAAGGCAGAGGCGACAGGGGCCACGGCGACCGTCGAGGTTGGGGCTACGACGGCGGTGGCCGCGGCTGCGGCGATGGTGGCGGCAGAGACAGGGGGCGCGGTCTCGGCCGCGGGCGCCGACACCGGCGGGGGCGGCGGCGGGGGCGCCGGCGGCTGCTTCAGAGCCGCTGTGTCCACTGTGGAGGCGGCGGCCGGGGCCGGGGGCGCAGCAGCGACGGCGGCGGCGGCAGCGGCAGCTGCGGCGGCGGCCGCGGCGGCGGCAGACTCCTGGGCGGCGGCGAGAACTGGGAGCAAGTCCACCTGGAGGGGCTCGGCCGCCGGGGGCTGGGGCGTGGGTGGGGGCGCCGGCGCGGCCTGCTAAGACAAGGCGCCGTGTGGGCCGCGGCCGCGGGTCGGCGCCCTCCCGGCCCGGCCCGCCACGGCCGGCCCCTACTCACCTGGAATGGACTCTGGGCGCAGCCCTGGGAGGCAAAGAAGCGGGACTGGAGCTCAGCCCCGACCTGCAGGGGGTTCTGGGCGTGACCCTGAGGTGGCGGGAAGGAGTTCATGAGGCCGCCCACCCCCCGGGAGTCCAGGCCCAGCACGGGGAAGGGGGGGG